ATAATCAATTAAGATGAATTTGGTTAAAAAAAAAAAAAATGGCGGGAAAAAGTTTCCAATTTTCAGACCGACTAACTCCCTTTAATATTAAGTTATAATTTTAAAACACGGACTGAAGGTGGACCTCTACAAGTCGAAACACCCCTTAAAAGTATATATTTATAGATCAATTAGAGGGGTCGCTATGGCTCCTTTAATCTTTTGTTTAGATAGCCGGGAAAGGGTACTTGAAGTTATGTAGTAGCACAATCGCCGTATAAACGTGGTCCAACGGCTAAGACCATGTGCTTGTGAATTACGCCTGGAGCGATAGGGGAAGGGTTCGAACTCCGGCTGTGGCCGACTTTTTAATTTGTGACTTTTTTTTCTCTTTTGTTTTTTTTACATTATATTATTTATTTAATGTGTTCTTCGATATATTAAAGGATCCTATATAAAAAAGTAATTTTCTTTTATTCGGGAATCTTCAAATAACGCTTAAAAACAGGAAAAATCTCGGAAAATTAGTTTATTTATATTATATTATTTTTTTAAACTTGTTTTACAATGTTTGCACGATAGTATAGCATACGAAAGGTTTTCTGTGCGTAAAATAAATTGTCTTTCTTTGTGAAAGAACGCGTAATGGACTAAAAAATAAAATAAAGTAAAATGGCGGAAAAAAGCTTCAAATTTCCAGACCGACTAACTCCCTTTAATATTAAGTTATAATTTTAAAACTCGGACCAAAGGTGGGCCTCTACAAGCCGAAACTCCTCTCCAAAGTATATATTTACAGATCAATTAGGGGGTCGCTAACGCTATGGCTCCTTAAATCTTTTGTTTAGCTTGCCCGGAAAGGGTACTGGAAGCTATGTAGTAGCACGATCGCCGTATAAGCGTGGTCCAACGGCTAAGACCATGAGCTTGAGAATTACGCCTGGAGCGAGAGGGGAATGGTTTGAACCCCGGCTGTGGTCGATTTTTAAATTTTTTTCTCTTCATTTTCTTTTATATTATATTATTTATTTAATGTGCTTATTAACCCTTTTTCACATATAAAAAATTTCCTCCAGCAGCAATGTTTGGACCATAGACCCCTACTTAGGGACCGAGTTTGAAAATTATAACTTAATATTGAAGGGAGTTAGACGACTTCAAAATTCGAACTCCTCCCAGTCATTTTATTTTTTTTTAATATTATTCCGATATGCATTCTTTAGAAAAGAAAGATGCCCGATTCTACACATAGAACACCTTACGCATGATAAACTGTCGAATATATTGTAAAAATAATTTAAAACAATGGAAATAAACCAATTTTCCTGGATTTATCCAGTTTTTACTTGTTATTCGAAATTTTCCCAATTTAAAAAAATTATTTCCTATAGGTAGGACTCACCAAAATATAGAAAAACACATTAAAAAACTAATATAATGCAAAATAAGCGCACGAAAAAAAAACGAAATTTTTTTGAAAACTTTCTGAAGCTGGGATTCGAACATGCGCCCCCTCGCCCCAGCCGTCGGTTAATAGTCCGGTGTCTTGACCACCATACTACTCAAACGTTGGGATTCAGAAGCCTGCCAGAATTTTTCTTCAAAATTCCTCTGACAGTCAGCTATGCATTAGACCTTTGAGGCACCCCCTAATTCACATATAAAAATTTCTTCCGGCTGAAATATTTGAACCATAGACCCCTACTTAGGGACCGAGTTTGAAAATTATAACTTAATATTGAGGGGAGTTAGACGACTTCGAAATTCAAAATCCCTCCCCGCCATTTAATTTTATTTTTTCTTTATTATTTTTATTCCATTATGCGTTTTTTAACAAAGAAAGATGCACGATTCTACACATGGAACACCTTACACTTGATAAACTGTCGAATATAATGTAAAAATAATTTAAAACAATGGAAATGAACCAATTTTCCTGGATTATTCCAGTTTTTTCGCCATTTTCCCAATTTAAAAAAATTATATCCTATATTTAGGACCCTCTAAAATATAGAAAAACACATTGAAAAAGTAGCATAATGCAAAATAAGCGGAAGTTGAAAAATTGTTTCGTTGAAAAATTGCTGAAGGTGGGTTTCGAACCTGCTCCCCCTTGCCCCAGCCTTCGGTTAATAGTACGGCGTTTTGACCACCATACTACTTGAACACGAGAAGTCCTCTCACAGTCACCTATGCAATAGACCTTTGAGGCACCCCCTAATTCACATATAAAAAGTTCCTCCTGCAGAAATGTTTGGACCATAGACTCCTACTTAGGGACCGAGTTTGAAAATTATAACTTAATATTGAAGGGAGTTAGACGTCTTCGAAATTCGAACCCCACCCAGTCATTTTATTTTATTTTTTATTATTATTCCATTATGCGTTCTTTAATGTATCGAACAATTGTACCGAAGGATTTTTTTTATAGACCAATTAGTGGACCCAGAATGGGCCAAAATAAGTTTTGTTTACTAACCGGGAGGAGGTGTTTTAAGCCAAATATTCACAGGGTTGGCATGTGAAGCGTGGCGCAGTTGGTAAAGCTGTGTGGCAAGTTAGATTTGTAGTCCCGGAGGATTTGGGTACGAAACCCTGTGAGGGTCGACTTTCAAAATTTTTTAATATTATTTTTTTAATATATTTTTCAGTATTTTAAAGTGAATAATGTGTTCTGTATATAAAAATATCTACTTTTTCTTTGGGAAATGGCGAAAAATAGCTAATAAACGGAAAAATTTCGGCTAATTTTGACTTATTTATTTATTTTATGCTATTTTTTTAACTTCTTTTTCAATATTTCAAAGCGAAAAAAGTGTTCTATATATGAAAAGAATTATTTTTCTTTGTTAAAGAGCGAATAATGACTAGGTGATTTTTCTATTTAACGAATTTTCCGTATACAAACTTATTATCAGGATTTAGCGACTTCGTTAAATAAAGGTTCGGCTGTATCTGAGAATTCAGTGAAGAGTTAAATGGCATAAGCTCCAAACATAAACAACAATATCATTCCATACATAATTTTTTTATGAAAAACTTTCAAAAAAGTTTAATTGGAGAAATCTTTTTTTTTTTCAGCAGTTTCTGAAATTATATGTTCAAAGTGTGAAATAATATGTACAAAGAAACATACAAAAGTCAGACTTTTTATTGGAGTTACAATTACCAATGCCGGTAGGTATTTTATTTACGTCGTATGAGAGTTACACAATGGGCTATTGGCGACGGTCTGGGAAACATCTCAGAGGATGATATGAAGACATGCCATCGCAATTTTGATCCCCTGCAGAGGGGATGGTAGCCCGGCAACCTGAGGTCGAGCACTCCACAGTAGAACGATATATAAGGCTAATCAAAGTGATCGCACCCAGTGATGCTTGACTTTGGACTAGGAATCGTGTCTTCACAATTAGTTGGTGAAATAATTTCTTCCAAAGATCTTAAAAAGTGTGTTATATAAAAGGTTCAAAGAAAGACTCTTTATTGGAGTTACAATGATAACTGTTAAACATGCAACACTGCATGCTTCACATGTTAGAATAAATGTAAACCTTGTTTCATAAATACAATGAAACCTATTTATCTGATTTCCAGTTTGTATACATAAAATTATAAACAATAATATGATCTACAATGTCACAACAGAATATTTTTATTATGGTTTTTAATCTTTTAACATTTTGTAGCCCAAAAAACTTCTCAAAGATATCAAAATATCTATCCATATTACGGGGGAATGTGATTACCACATATATTAAGTAAAAATCACAAGAATTATAAACAACTATTGCTTTTTTCTAAATATTTCCGAAAAACTTTCAAGCCATTTGAAGTTTCATAAGTAATTTGGAGGAGGGATTAATTCCAAAAATATTTTCTTACGAGCTGAAGTAATTATATTTTTTGATAACTGAAAAAATTACTAAAATATGTCTTGTTTAGTATTGCTTTTAATTTATTTTTCCTGTCAAAATTAGTATATAAATTTGGGACCGTTATATCGTATATTTCCAACAAAGAAAATTTTTGTGTCAACATCAGTCGAAAAAGGAGTGATTGGCTGGCCAAATATGATGATATCCTGTACTTCTTAATCTAGTTGTAGTTCATTAACGTCGCACTAGAGCTGCACAATGGGTTTTAAGTGACGGTCTGGGAAACATCCCTGAGGATGATCCGCCATTTTGATCCTCTGCAGAGGGGATGGCACCCCCGACGACCTGCACGCGAAGTCGAGTACTTTACGGTAGAACAGTTTAATCAGGAGGACACCCTCGGTACCTACGCAGACTGATCCGAGTGGTCACCCACATGCACACTGACAGCAGCCAGTGACGCTTGACTTTGGTGATATGCTGTGAACCGTGTCTCGACGATCAGTCCACTACGGGACATTTAATATTTGTTATCTTGTATTTGATTTAAAACCTGTAAAAAATGTTCTTTTTCATTTAACAAAATACTTGTAATTTTGCATTTAAACAATGTTTGCAATAATCAGTCCAATGTAGAATAATATTGTTTAATTATAATAAAAGTAACAAATTAAATTATGAATCAAGAAACCAGTACAGAAGCTTTAAGTTGCATAAATATTGAGCAAATAAATAACAGTTTTTTAATAGTATAAAGTCCTAACATAAGAAATCAGAGCCTATTAAAGTTTGCTTCCTACACAGCAGACATATCACATTTTTTAACAAAAATATAAAATCATTCACTTTCAAGTGATTATGTAACAACAAGTTCAACAGTTTTGTACAGTTCAGCACTTCCAGGAAGTAATCAAATTTTTAAACAAGACTAGTAGGCACCTATGTTACGTCTTCGCATTTTGGAAGAAAAACTAAAAAAGGAGAAAGAAAATGTCAATGATTCATAACATTTTAAAATATATTTTGTGATAAATATTAAAACAATGATTAATGCAATGATAATTCACAAGAGTTTTCAATAATGATTATTACAGATCATTATCAACAAATACTTTTATTGTGAGTATTTTATTCTACAACCGTCGTTGAACAGCCGACCCAATTTTTTGGGTTCAACTTTGTAGCCTTGTAATTTTTAACCCGACTCTTTTAACAATGGAGAAATGAAACGAACTTAAAAATAGTATTTATCATCCAATTACTTACCTTTCTTAAAAAAGAAAATCAATCAATAAATAAAAAAATAATCAACAATTTTATTATAATGTAAGTATTTATTTACAGGGTTCGCCTAAGTAGGTAAAGTAGGTGTTTTTAAAAACATTTTCAGATTGTTAAGGGTTAATTGACATCTACAAAACTAGTCCATACTTCATTTTTAATGATTTCATTGAAATTGAATTGCACATTTTTTTCATATGTTTAAAAAAAAAATAGTAAATAAAGAAATTTGGGAGAAACATTGAAAAAATTTGTAGAACAAGTGTTTATATTTCACTGCTAGAAATGCCTCACATATTCAGTTTTGGACCAAGATTTAATACTAAAAAGTTGAATTAGAATTATGCATGAGAGTAGTTTTCTTTTTTAATTCATTGCAATACGTATTTTTATGAAACTTTTGATAGCATAAAAATACAATTCTGCTCAAAAAAATTTTTAATTTTCAAACCAATATGCCTTTAGTTTCTCAGTGAAACACATAAATAAAAGGATCTAAAACGATTTATCAAAGTTATCAACACATTCCTATGGCCAAAAAATTGGTAAGGGTTCTAATTAACAAATACTGATAAATTATTAATTTTTTTCCTTTACCGATACTTGTAATATTTCTTTATCATCCCTATCATTCTTAATATTATTCTCTACTATTACTGTGATTTGATATTTTATTTTTATTGTAAATTTACAGTTTAAAACTGAAATAAAGTAATCTGGTAATATCACTTTATCAGGTAATGTTTTGTAAAAAAAAATTGAAAAATTTTAGGAAAAACATATTGAAAACTATATGAAACTTAGAAATTATTACTCAACAGTAAATGTATATTAAATATTTACTTTTATGATAAGCTTTACATAAAATTATTTCCAGCCAAAACTGTTAATAGGAATTAACATAATATTACTAAATAATTTGGTGAGAAACATGAACTAATTTTAATGCAATCGAAATTTGAATAGAATTAAAAGAAAATAACAGTATATGTACTAAGTTGCAATGCTAATTGAACAAAATGATTATTAAAATCTAAGTTTGAATTTTATTCTAATACACATTAATAACAAAAAGTTGTTTTAATTGAGTAAATTTTTATGTAACAATCAGCTTATCCCTAAGAAATAAAGAGTAACAATCTAAAATATTTTTTACATTGCAACAAAACAAGTTATAAATAATAATTTCTAAAAGTATCTTATTTCTTGCATGTTTATTTGGTACTCGTGAATAAAGTATTTTTGTAAAAGGGGTTTTCATCAGTTTTTTTATATGAAAACCTTCACTATTTACCTTTAAGAACAAGCTGCTTTCTATAAATTTACACACATACAAATTTATTTAATTCTTCAAAAATAGTTTTTGCTATGGATTCTAGTTTTAAAATCCCAGGGCTTTACTTTGTTTCTATAAGCATCTTAACTGATTTTGAAGGTCAATGTGGGTCTTCTACTTAGGTCCCCTCAAAAAACACACTTTTCTTTTAAACATTCTCCTCATCATTCAGGGCAGAATAATGAAAGCTTTTCTTGCCTGTAGCCACACATTAATTTTCTCTCTAAAATATGCTTTACTCTCGATGCGTTGTCTAAGTGACAAAAGAACAACATTTTGTTTTAAAAAATTGATCCAATCAACTACAGTGATGCTAAAAAATTAAGGACTTTTAAAAACCTTGAACCAAAATTAAGTACTTTTAACCCCTTCTTTCTCGCTGACGAGAAATTGACGGAGTGAGGTTTCACCCTCTATTACTCGTTCTCGTGATGTTTCCGGACTGGAGTGTTAAGTTGTAACGCGCCAATTATAAGAATAAAACAAATTCATTTATTTTGCCCGGAAAACATTTTATTTCTCCTTTTACACGCCAGATGGCAGTACCAGGATATTAAGGTTCTCCAGAAGAGATGAAAACAATGAGAGATGTAGGAAGAAAACTACTGACCAGATTGTGACCTCTGTATCTCATGCTTTGAAATTTATCACACAAGAAAAAATTACTAATCTTTATTTATATTATACGACCACATATTTTTTAAACTTTTCTCAATTGCTGGAAAACCAACATAAAGTCATAGAATGTTGGCTCTTCCTAAAAATTTAATTTTTTTAAAATTTCAAGCTAAAAACAAAACTAAAAAAGAATATATATATTGTACATATTTTTATATAATTTTCAATGATAAAAAAATAGGCACTTTTATGACCGTTTTCTTGAAAATTAACTGATTGTTAATGGGTTAAGAGCCCTCATTTGACAAAATAAAAATTAAGCAGTTTTTAAAGACCTGGTGCATAGCCAAATTATTCAACAAAAAATTAAGCACCTTTTAAGCTCTTTTTAAACACTCAAAAAATATTTTTAAGCACTTTAAAAAAATATCATAATTAGGCAGGGTTGCAAAGTTTTCGACAATTGACGGTTTTATCTTGTTTTAACCACCGTGTTAAAAGGAGAAAAAAAATAACCTTTTGGCATTGTTTTTGAAAAATATCAAACATCATGAAATTTTGAATAATGTAAAACGAATGACGTTAGATTGGGGTTGAATTAATTGCAAAAACGTTGATGTGTCTTTTTGCATAATTCGAAGCGAAAATCAGTATAATAAAGGAAAAATCTCATTTAAAAAAAGGGAAAGCACTTTTTAAAAATATCCAATAAAAAAAGGACCTTTAAGGGCTTTTAAAAAATCAAAAATAAGCGCTTTTAAAAAACGCCATGCATCCTGCCTGTTGTAGCACTATTGGTACAATAGCAATAACCCTAAATTTAAAAACAAAATTTCCTGATTCACATTTTTTTCTATACACACACTATTACAGACACATACTTCAATTTCAAGGTTAAAAAAAAAAGTTACCTTTAAATAGTTCTTAAAAGCTTTAGGATCAGAATTCAAAGCGTGACAATATTGTTGTATGTTTTCATGTGAGAGGCGTAGCGTGGGGAGGTAGCTAGTCTCGAGATAATTCACAAACTCCTGACCCCTCGCATCGAGCACAGTTTTGAGGCAGAGGGCACTCTCAGAGAGTGCCAGTATAGTCTGTGCATCATTCAAATCAAAAGTGTCTTTGAGTGGTGCCATGAAGCAGGCAGGAACAATGTGGTTGTACATGAATTCCACAAAACTGGCCTCACTTCCACCCCACAATTCCACCATCTTCTTCAGGATGCCAAAACACGTTTTCTGCGCCTGAAATCAATTATATCATTAAAAACAATTTGCTTTATAATAATTCCCAATATTATACGCAATATATTAAGAGTGAGCTATATTGGGATAACTCATTAGTTTTAATTGCTGGAAAAAAGAGCTGAACATACTTAAATACTGCAAATGAAATAGTTTAGTATAGCTGAAATATCCCATAGATTACGCTTTGAGTGGGTCCCCATTCCTTAAAGAATTCCCTGTATTTTTCCAGTTTGGAAAGAAAAAATCTAAATTCTCTGTATTTTCCCTGTTCTTTTAGGTGATTTTTAAATTCCCTGTGGATTGGGAGCCCTGATTTAATTCATATGATAATTTCTTTTTCATATACTCAGCAGGGCAAGCAGATCCCTCATAAATACAAAGTGGTGGCTCAGGAGCGTTCGCCTTCCGACAAGGTGAACCGGGTTCGATTCGAATTCCCCGTCCGGCTCGCATCGATGCTGTCGTTAAACATCTTTTACAGTCCCCTTGCCGTCAAGCTAACCGTGGGAGATTTTCGTGGTTTCCCTCTCCATGCAACGCAAATGTGAGCTAGTTACATCAAAAAGTCCTCCACGAAGGCAAATTTCATCCAATACTTGATGAAGGAGTTCCCTTGTCTTCTGAGTTCAAAATTACAAGGATACAGAGTTGAACATGAGTAGTCATAAACACAAAAAATTGGGTTAGCTGTTCAACAATGATTATAAAAAAATAAAAATTATTATGATGAAAAATTATTTATTGAGTAAAAGAAAATAATTATACATTTTCTTTCACTCAAAATTAGTTCTGTGATAAAGGACAAAGTTAATGGTTTCTACTGGCAACATGCCGACTAACTATCAGAATGAAAAATATCAAAATGGCATAAAGATGCCAATTTTTAAAAACTTTTACTTTAAAAGAATTATAAGAGTCCACTTTTATAAAAAAGGGACCCAGAAATCCTACTTTTAAAAATTCTAGCAGAATGCCCTATTTCAGCATTATTCGGCAATATACATTTTATAACGTTATTATCAATTTTAATTTTTTTTTAATAAAATGAATTTTTTTTAAAACTTGAACCAATACAAATTTTAATATAAAGGACACAGTAAAATACAAGTCATTTGATTTTTTAAAAAAATCATTAATTTTAGTCAAAAATATTTTAAAGTCTAATTTTATTGATATTAAAGGTTTCATTTAACAGAAATGATAATACCTACATTATCTGATGTTTAACCCCTTAACAATTGGTTAATTTTCAAGAAAACGGTCATAAAAGTGCCATTTTTTTGGCTTTTGTATTTGTAATACGTATTTGATTAGTGCTGCAACTAGTTTAAAATAAACTAACTGTCTACAATTACCTTAAAAATATACTGGCACTGCCAACAGGTGTGTAAAATGAGAAATAAAATTTTTTCCGGGGAAAAGAAATGAATTAGATTTATCTTATTGGCGCGTTACTACTGATCACTCCAGCCCGTCAATATCACGGAAGCGAGAAATAGCGGGCGAAAACTCACCCCGTCATTTTCACGGGAGCGAGAAGGAAGGGGTTAAAACAGATTAATAAATATAAAAAAGTTACTAAATGTGGGTAAAAGTTATGTCAAACTTTTATATTAAAATTTTTAAATTAGTTATAAATAAAATGGTTGATTGTTTAATCCAGTGATTCCCAAAGTGGTCTATCCCAGGGGTAGACGACAACCTGCAAGGGGTCCATGTCAAGTGAAAAGAAATTATAGGTTCATGAAATGAAAATGGGGATCAACGATAGTGGATCTCATATTAGCAGATCGTGACTTTAATTTTGGCATTTCATAAATGGAATCAACATACACTGATAGTACCTATTTACTTACATTAGACTACCTTATAATATAAAGACATATACATAATAAAGACATTTACATTCTACATAATTTAAAATAGTAGCTATGAAGTAAAATTTTATTAAATCTTAAGTTATTAGAATTATTTTCTGATACATAAAATTGATGCCAAAAGTCTATAATTTATAATTAAAGCATCAGGTTCATCCCTCCCACTAAAAGCATTTATTTATTGCTTAGTTATTCTATATAATAGATACTAAATTTTAATTTGTTTCGTTTTAATTTGAATTTAATTAATAAATGTATAAAATTAACATGTGTTTTTTTTTCTTAAGTTTTTCACACTACACTTCACTACAGTTAGAAATTTAAATCTTTTACAGTGAGTAGCACTATACCAGCAGTCAAAAATACATTTGAAGTTGATGAATTTACAAAAAAATCAATATCAGGTAAGCAGGGGGTTGACCCAGAACCGAAAAACAAGGCAAGGGAGACAAAAAAGTTCAGGAATCACTGGTTTAATCTCTTTCTTAATTTTAACTTTAAGGTAGGGGTGCACCAGATTGACCAATGAAGGGGTCTCCTTCCGATCCTTTTTTGTAAGAAATTTTTATTGATAAGAGAAAAAAAATCTGTTAAATTCTCTCCACACTCAGTTTTTGCAATTATTCATTGTAAGTTTATTAGCATTAATTGTTACTTTTCTTGTAGTTAATTGTTAGTTCTTTTTTCTTTTTTTTCGTGGTGAGCGTCTTTCCGTAAAACAAAAAGTTATCTAAAAGAAAAAAGCTCTGAGAAGAAACGATTATTCTAATTATTTGAGGAGAAGTAATTTTTTATCTGTGTATAAAATTGTCGAAAGAACAGCCTAAACATTTAAGAGAATTAAAAGTTGCTTAAATCAAATCATAAAAAATAATATCATATGAAAAATAAGTATTTATTTCTTTTGTCCCTTTATGTTATTAATTGCTAAACTTCCAGCTACTGCATTGAAATAGTGAATATTTGAAGGTAAAGACATGCGTTTGGTATATTTAAAAAATATATAGTGTTATTTCTATTATATAGATTATTTTAATTAATAAAATTTCTTAAGATGGGATAGTTTTAAATTCGCCCCATCATAATCTATGATCAAAACTTAACTAATTTTAAAGGTTTTTTTCTGAAATTAACAGAAGTGAATTATCATAATACAGAAGTGAATTATCATAATACAGTAGGCGCCGTATCGGAATTTCCGAAAGAGGTCCGGTGAGTGTATCTAAACTTAGCTTCAAAGAAAATAATTACAACAGTAGAAAAATTTAGAATCTATATTTCATTTTAGTGAATGTTTGATTTAGTACAAAAATCTTATTGTAATTGAATAATTTACTATGTCATCAAAATGTTAATCAAACGTTTATTTATGATCTCTGAGAATCGAGGGTGAAGGGCTAAGGACTCTTTTTACACCCCTCAGAGGTTCTCTTGTAACATCATTCATATAGCAGGGGTGATTGTGAGCCCAAGTCAAAATTCCGGAAAATTTCTTGAGTTTAAAAAAAAAAAAAAAACAGTTTAAATTGAAAAATTAGAAAAAAATTTAAGCAAGTTTTTTTTTCCCTTTTTCTCAATATTTCTTGGTTTACTTAAAATATATTTAAAATTTTACACATACCTATACCATTTACATATACCTATGATGACCTGGAGAAGCAATTAAAATTTACAAATATGTCTTTCTTTCTTGAGTTAATGATTATAACAACTATTTACTGATAAAAAATGAATATTAATCATGAATATAAGCTTATAAAGTATCTGGCTCTCCCTTACAAACTAATAACTTGTGTTTTTAAGTTCCACCTTTGAAAATTTGATTTTCGGAAACTTCTGCGATCAATGATTTTTTGAAACGTCTGGACCTTCGATCTCCGGAAACTTCCGGATCACTGCTAGCGAAAAATACGGAAATCCGGATATTTTCCGGACCACAATCAGCCCTGATATAGACATTGCTGATGACCTTTCTTTAGTTGAAATGTCGGTACCGTGGTTATATGATGTAAATGTCCGCTTTTTCGATGGACTGAGGTATTTTTTGCTTTGGGTAAACACGTTAAAACCTGTTACAGGTAAAAACCTGTTTACCTGTTTGAAGGGATGCCACAGAAAAAAAAGGAACAAAATAGTTGCTAGCCTAAAGCATCAAAATAGTTGACGAAAACTATGAAAATAGTTGCCTAAATAAAAACAAAAATAAGATTAAAATTTTATTAAATGACTTAATTGTCATATACCATGATCTATTTAGTCATGTTGGTGGCAAATATGATAATTTTTATATAAACATTAGTGTTCTAGCAATAAATTTCTATATCAAAAAAATTTTTATATTTGCAGAAAATTAAATACTTTGAATTACTAGAATTCTTTCAAAAAAAATATTTTTTATTAAAAAAAACATACTTTTCCTTAAAAATTTTTAGTTTAACTAATAATTGATTCAGCAAGTATTAGAAAATTATACATACATATATTGTGAAAAGTGATGATTCAAATTCGAAATTCTCACATTGTTATATCGCATTAAAAATTGGGTTTTCTAAAATCATGCAGAATTTTGTAGTAATAACAGCTGAAAAGGCGATGGAGAAACAAAATAGATTTACAACGGAATCCTGTTCACATTAAGCGCATTTAAAAGTGATGACTCAAATTTGCAATTCAAAAATTTTTTTTTGTGTTCAGAAGAAGCTGCTGCAGGTTGTCAACCCAATTTATAATTTCTTTTTTAAAAAAAAGAAAACATAGCTAAGAGCACAGAAAAGTCTCCTAATAGTCTCCTTTTCCTGAAAATAGTTTCTTTTTTAGCCTTTTTAAGCAAAAAAGTTGGCATAGTCGCCTCAAGTCAAAAACAGTTGTAAATAGTCGCATTTAAGTCACCACTGGCAACCCTGTATTTGCGGGTGCAATTTGATTTTCATTGCTTTATTAGTTCTAAAAATAGGACTAAAATTCAAAAAGTGAAATTAATATGAAAGGGTCCAAACTATGGGTTCCCAGAGTGCGGCTATATTTTCAAAGTTAGGAATGCAAATGTGTGAAAAGATGTTTATTCAGAGAAAATACGTGCCCGATTTTGTAATTTAATGAATAGTTAGAAGAAAATAATTTGCATAATTCCCCAGAAACCATTAAGATTGATACGTGAATCAAAGGAAAGTTATTCAGGGTTTGCACACATATACGTGTGAGAAGATGGGCTCTCATGCATAGCTCATCAGACTGACAAAGGCAGGGGCATACGGGGCAGTTGCCCCAGGCCCCACATCAGAGGGGACCCCAAAGAAGTTTTTGCCCTCGGTAGCCCCAAATAGTCTAAGTCGGCCCTGATCAGACTTTGGATTTTCTCGTTATTTTAGCCTGTATTAATTTATGTAAAACAATAAAATGTTTAGCATTTGAATGTAATTGAAAAAGATTTTATTGTAATAGTTTGCATAATATGTTTGTTTGCATATCTTATCGTTTTTTGCATTGTTTTTCTTGTAAAGAATTAACTTCTATTTTCCACAAAATAAAAGATTTTATTATTTGGAACTTGTTACTTATTTTAAATAATTCAAGTAATGTGCAAGATTGTTTGTTTTGACCATGCAGCATTACATTAGAGATATTTCCCAGACGGGTTTAATTTACGGTCAATAAGCGTTAGCAGGGTTTCAAAATTTCATAGTTTACGAAAGTCCAATGGTTCTGAGATACGCACAAACAATAGTAATACCCTTCTATATTGTGTTTCATCTATAAAAACTAGTGAATTTGTAACACCAGAACTCTGTGTAGCATTTTAGCACAAATTTATTTTTCTGCTTCTAACTAATACTTGCAATACATAACTTCTTTTTTTTTGTTGTTGTTAACGCAACCTTAAAAACATTTTCAAGAAAATTAATTTTTTGTTTAAAACATAATAAATAAGGGAAATAAAAATACAAAATTTTACCAAAGGATCTGGAAAATCAACTGCACCTTGTATCACAGTAAGCAAAATGCGTTCAAAATTCTGAGTATCTATTAGACAAAGAAAAAATAATTTGTTTGAAATGATTCAAAATTTATTCTAAAAAAAGGTTTTGCCAATTTTCCGATCTACATTTTTGTTTTAGTTAAGAGTAAAATGGCTTACATTAAAAGAAACTTAACAGTGGTTAATCCTCACTTATTACAAAAGATCAATTTTATTTTTAATGACAATAAGAAAAATCTACTCATTTTGGAGTAGATTTTTCGAGGATACATTGTTGTTGATGCATTGTATCCCTTTCGAGGATACAATGCATCAACAACAAAAAAGTGACACTCTATCTTCTAAACTAATTATCAGCGCCATATGGAAAAATCCAGTAGATTTTACGAAATATAAATTTCATGATAATTGTTGCAAAATATAAAGATTTTACACATAGAGAATTTTAGGGATTTTTATAGTCATCAAAATAGAAAGAACTGAAATATTTTCCATTTATGATTTCACATTAAATGTTAACATTTTATGATGTTTATACATAATTTTGATTAGTATTTGGCATTTCATTGATAAAAGATAGTTAACTGAATTTTATAAATGGGGCTTGCTTCCTTACGTATTAGTGACACTTATTTAAATATTCAAGAAAGAAATAATCCTTACAAAAATTCTATTTCAATAGGGATTTTTTAAGGAAACTTACTCAATTTTAAGGAATCTTTGAAAATGTAAAAAAAACAGGAGAATTTTTATTGAACCAGTAGACCAGGAGAAATCATCAAAATCCAGTAGTCTACCGGAAAATCCAGTAAAGTGTATAAGTAATCTTAACCATAGCAAAAAAACATTTTTCTATTAGTAGCAGTTGAATTCCATGCCAATTGAAACCAGTAGTAGAATTCCAAGAGTAACAGAGGGGAAATCACACAGGTATTTTATCATAAAAAATGTATTAAATATATGTAAAAACAAAAAATTTTGCAATAATATGCTACTTTAAGGTGCAATGTTTAATTAAATGTCATGATATTTCCCTGTAACTATTTGTCAAATTTGTAAAATGTCCCCTCTGTTACATTGCATTTTTTGAAGTTAATAAAAATGTGTTAGCAATTTAAAAAGTTTTATAATAATTTATTTTACCTTGAAATGTTATAATTAGAAGAAAAAAATTACAAATAATGTTTAGGATGTTCCAAATCACAGAATATAGTGAAAATAACAGTGCAGGTCAAAAATGTGGGATTTTCTTTGTCCCCTCTGTTATGGACACTTTTAATTACCTGGCAATTAAATTATGAGGCTCTTTTATTATATTATGCAATTAAACTAAACACTGCATCTTAAAGTAGCATATTACTGCACAATTTTCTGTTTTCACATATATTTAATAAATTTTTTAGGATAAAATACCTGTATGATTTCCCCTCTGTTACGCTTGGAATTATACAGCAGGGAAATTCCCCGCTGAAGTGAAATATTTGGAACGGTTTGATTTCAAGAAAATTATTCCATTTAATAATGAGGACATTTTTTGTTTGTTTATAATTCAATGCTTAGCTTAACACTATATTGTTAGTGATTGCATAACTTTAGATCAGCTTTTCATGTTCTTAAATGCAATCTGAATTAGATGGCTTTTTCGCAACAATTTTTTTTTCTTATTGAAACAGGGTACATAGCCAAATCTTTCAACAAAAAATAAGTACTTTTTAAGCACTCAAAAATACTATTAAGCACTATATAGATTAACAAAATGCAAAATAATTTTCAACGACTTTACATGAATTACATAAAATAACTAGTTTCTAATAAAGATTCTTGATTATATTAGTCATTATAAAATGGAGAAATTTTTCGGTTTCATATCAGAGGGTGGAAAATGAAGCCTGAAATTGTGAATATCTTGCAAAATGCTGCACATGAGAGTACAAGAATCTCGCCGAACCCAGCTTGGTAGACTAACGCGCGGACTCGCAAGCATTTCATCTAAAATGTAAAACGGTTAGTGCTTTTATACGCTACCGTCAGAGGGTACGCCGAAATGAATTGCGGTGAAAGCGATGAAAAGAACAATGTGAAAAGCACGCTTTTGCATAATACATGGCGAAAATAGACATGGTAAAAAAAATCTCGAGCATGGAAAATTAAGCACTTTTTAAAAACACCCAAACAAAAAGCACCATGTAGAAAGTATCATATAAGCCTGGGAAGTCAAAAAAGCAATGGAGGATTTTTTAATTAAATAATGATGTTCTTGATTTGCAAAGTAAACAAAATCATCCTGAACTTAGTAATTTTGAATGACATCGTTAAAACTTAAAAAATAAATCGAATAAAAAAAAAACTTAAGAACTAGAAGACCAAATTTGTCACAACCTTCAGAGTATACTTACAAAAAGAACTATTAAAATATATATTATTGTACCTCAGACGGGTAGGACCCCTACCTTGTGATACTATGACCTCTGAAATATTGTTGGTGACAATAGCAGCAATGAAGAGAAAATAGCTTCGTTGAAGCAAGTGCCGTTCATTTTGTGCGGGCTGATCATTTTCATCAATGGGTAGGGAAAGAGCATTGAATATGGCACTCACAAAAGGCAAGAAGATTTGATGAACAAATGGTACAACATCTTTCTAAAATAACATAAATTGCATTTTGGCAAATTATAACAAAACAAAATGATTGAATTTCATTGCACAAGAGTAAAATTTAGCTATATAGCACCAATGCCGTGAAATAGAAATGTTAAGCAGCAAAAATTGAATTTTTATAAATTTTTTTTTGTTTTATAGTGTTACACTTCAGAAAATTTAGTAATTTTTCAGTTATAAAGCAACATAATTAAACAATTTTGCGTTTTTGCTTTGAATTAAAATTCACTAGTAATAGTTACAAGCTAAATAGTAAAGTTTATAAGGATTTTGATTGTTCAAATGCTTAACAATTTAGCCATCGAATTGCCAGAAAAAAGTAGCGTTTAAGAAAAATTAACTTTCTAGTATTTTCGAAAACTGTGGTATTACACAAAAGTCTAATTAAATGTAATGAATTATTTGAATTTAATAAATAAATTGTAGTAAAATTATTACATCATATGTATAAAATAAAATATAACACAAAACCTGAGCACACAAAAAAACCTGTTTTTTGCACAAAACCTGTTTTTTACACACAAAAGCAGTGCAAATGAAAAAGAAAAATTGAAATAACTATGAGCATTAAAAAAACTTAAACATCAAGCATTAAAAAAACTTAAAAATAAAAGATTAAAAAAAAATTATCAAATATGTACTTTCCAGGGTTCAAACACAAAAATAACACTTTTCCATGTATTCCAAGGATAGACAAAGAAATTCAATGAAATTTGTATTTAATAAAAATGTAAATTAGAATTATAAATAAAATCGCAACTCTAAGAAAGCCTTTATATTTTATATACTTTTATTTAAAAAAAATTCAGGTGATTTAAATTAAGCTGACTCTGATTTGAAAGTAATAAAATTGTCAGAACTAAAAACATGACTGAAGGGAAATAAAATGAAGGGCAATATTAAATAGAAAAGTTTTTATTGCAGAAAAAATAAAAGTATATAAATAATCTGTATATAATTAAGGTTAAATCACCGCATGAACATTTCGAAAACAAAACTGCAATAAACAATTAAATAACCTAATATATTAGCATCCATAAAAAAAACTTTAATATGGAAAAGATAAGCACCAATAATATTGCAAAATTTAATTGAACGATACTAATTTTTTAAAAAAAATAACAATAAAAACATATTTTTAACACCTAATATCCTAAAACCATCCTACAAAGTAACTGGAAAATATATACATAACCCATATGTAAGTAATCCATACTTATTAAGTTAAATTAAATAGAATAAATAATTAAAAATTAAAGATTTTTAACAACAGACAAGCAAAAATAAACAATAAAAATCTAATATTTTTAATCCTTAGAAATGAATTGTTCTAAAATATGAAACAAAGCGGCAAGAAAACTAAAGATAGGAGAGAACTTATTAATCATTAAAATAAAATAACAGCTTTTTTAAAACTAAGAAAAAAAACTGATTTTTAAAAAAATATCATACAAATAATCTTGTTTTAATCAAAATTAAATTGCATTTAATCAACTGTTTTTATATTTAAAAAAATGATCATAAATAAGAGGGATAAATAGATAGAAAAATATAAATTAAGATTTTAAAAACAGTGAAATTAATCAAAAAAAATATTTAAAAAACTTAATACTAAATAATTACGATAAATAGTAAAGCAAAACACGAAATAAATAAATAAATACGTTAGTTGGTTCATTTAATTGAAGTTAAGTCAAATTACAACAAGCTAAATAAAACTAAATTATAATAAACTAAAGATTAATTAAAATCCCCAAATTAACTAATAAAAAACAAAATTAATAATTAAAGAAACAAAATATATTCTAAATCTAATTATAAGGAAAAAGGAAGATGATGAAATTAAAGGGAAACTTATTAATCAAAATAAATTAAAATAACACTTAAAATTACCAAAAGGAAAATGCAACATAAATACTAACAACATAGCAGATTATAATAAGATCAACTAAATTTTAAAAAAATTTTATCTTAAAATTCATAAGTAAGAACTAATTTTTTGAAAATAAAAATTTTTTGTGATAAGAAAAAACTCATAACATAGTGGAATCAAAAATGTAAAAAGAGAAAGCTGCAATCTGCTTCATAAAATAAATGTCTGCTTTTAGTAATAAATAATTGAATTAATAAACAATCTTCTGCTTTTATTTCTTTGGACAAATTTTAATGAAAGCAGTTGTGATTTCACATCAGGCAAAACTTGCAACTTCCACCGAATCAGTATTAAATCAAGCAAAAAATATTGTTTCTTTAATTAATCATCATCATCCGAGTTGGCCAGGCAGCCCAATGTGGGCCGATACCTTCCTCTGAAGATTTCTCCATAATGACTTCCGATTTATCTTTGATCTCCAATTCTTTTCAATTATTGCAAGAAAATCAGACTCCACCAAGTCAGCTGCTCAACCGCGGCCTTCCCCACTTTCTTGTTCCAGTGGGTTTAAAAAGCAGCATCTTTTTTATTGTATTGTCATCACTCATTCGGTTTACCATCCAATTCATTCTATTCATTTTTATGTATTTAATAATATCGGGTTGTTTATAACTCTTGTACAGTTCAAAGTTAAATCTCCCTCTCCAGTTATTGTTTTCATTTACACCACCAAGTATAATCCACAAAATCTTTCTCTTAAATATTGCGATGCAATTTTCCTCCAGTTTTTTCATTGTCCAAGCCTCAGAAGCATATGTCAAGACTGGCCTGACAAAAGTTTCGTAGAACTTTGTTTTTCTAGAAAGAAACTTAGATTTTGTAAATCTTCTCATCACTATTTGCCAGATAGAGTCATTTTGTTGTCAATAGTAATAATTGATCCTAAGTAAGTAAAACTCCTTACTTTTTCAAATCTATACGAATCTATTTCGAGGCCTGGGGCTCTGTTTCTTGATAATAACATATATATTCTGTTTTCTCTATATTTATGAGTAAGCCCATTTGTCTTGCAGCCACTTCAAGGGCAAAAAATGCCTCTTTCAGGGCAGGAAGGGAATTACATGAATATCATCAGCATATGCAAGCAGTTGTACTGCGACCACAGGTATTGATGTTTGAATCAAGAATAACTCTCTCAAGTGCAATATTGAAGAGAAGAGAGAGAATCTCCCTGTCGAACACCTGTAAATGGGTCAAAACTTAATNGTTTTTACTTGGCCTATTTCCTAAAATATGCTAAAAAATAAATAAATTATGTTCATAATAGTAAAATTAAATTAAAAAACAAGTTTTCATAACTTTTCATTTGAAAGGTCCCATGTCCCCTTAATGAGTTTTGAAGGCATTTTAAAAGTATTTATTGCTTCAAAAAAAAACTTTTATTAATACTATCAAAAGCAGCCTTGAAATCAATAAAAAGATGTTTTGTTAATTAATATCTAATAAACACAGAAGATTAAAAAAAAAATTTGTTCGTAATAATTAATGTATTATCCAAATGTTATCCCCCACAATTTGTAGAACGTTTTTGCAAATCACTTTTTCCCAAACAATTGCCGGTACAATTTGAACATAAGCCAACAAACTACAAGATTTCAGAAAAAACTTTTATCAAGAGAAGTTCAATAAAGAATGACATCAGAAAACTTTTGATTTGACAAAAATTTATTAGCAATGAGGTGGAAAGCACAGAATTGTGATATAACAAATAATAATCTCAATAAGTGTAACTTCCGAGTTTCCTAGCGTTACGGTCAGCGATGTAACTTGTTAGTTGTAAAAAATTTTATTAATTTACGTACAGACCTTAATTTTTAAAAACATAGTATGCAGTTATTAAACCATAAAAATAGTAACTTAATAATAGTTAGAACTTAAGAAAAAATTTTAAACGAAAAATTGTTGAACACAAGTATATTGTTGAAAATTATATTGTTAAACACAAGTATAATTTTGTAAGAGGACAACACACTATTTCTTTTTTCACATTTCGTAAACAATCCTCACATAAAAAAGTGAAAGAAAAATTTCCCAAAAGTGAATAGAAAATATAAAGAGCATTTCTTCCCTCTGATGTGTGAAAAAGGTATCTCTTGAGTATAATTAAGGAGGGGAAAAAATCTTTCAAACATTTCTGCATCAAATTTTATACTAATGTGTTTGCCTCAGTAGTTCATCAGTAAATAATTGGTTTACAATGAACTTACATTGTGATTTTTCCGAAAAAATTTATTTTCCATTTCGAAAAAAATTGGGCATAACAAGGGTTTTGAGAAAAAACTCGACATAGGAATTCAAAGAAGCATGTAATGTCAAAGGGAGAAATATTTTTTTCACATAAACCTGGTTTTTGAGAGAATACTAACTGTATATTTTAGTGACTTAAAGTATTTGTTTTTAAAAGTATCAATATTGACAGATGCCATGTTTAGGAGGAGTAATTATATGTGACTGTGAGCCCAACTCAAAAATCCTGAAAATTTCTTGAGTAAAATAATTAATGACTTATTTAAAAAAATTAATGTCTTTATAAATTTAAATCATTGATATTATCTAAAAATGAAATTCTAAATAAATTATATGCAGCATAATTTAAATGAATAATTATGCGTAAGTTTTCTTTAATCTCTAATCACATTTATTATTCTACCAGAAAATATATTTACAAATAAAAGAGACGCCAAGTGTAAATTCTAATATTTTTAAATAAAATATACAAGAATTTTTATATACAAATGTGATTGATGATTTCTTAAACTTTCTGAACCTCGGATTTTGGGAAACTTCCGGATAGTGGTTAGTGAAAAATCCTGATTTCTTTCTGGAGCACAATCATCTCTGTCTATATAAATCAAAATTCCAATGTAACACAAAGCCTCATGTTTAAATGATCGTAATTGAAATCATAAGTAAGAGGATTACTTTAAACTTGCAAATTATTTGATTGATGAGTGGAATGAATTCCTGGATACTCCGAATGTCTGAAGTCTTGAGCAACTGTTCAGCAGCCAGGGGAAAATACGGCAACACCTCACATTCTAAACAGACAACCATCCTATGAAGATATTGACGAACCGCAGACTGTAATGTTGCTTGCTCATATGGAAGCTAAAAAACACATTCATTGGATTAAGAAACATCATCAACTGTCCAGACATTTTGCGACAGTTCCGTTTTTGTAAAATTGTGAAAAAATTACTCGTATTTTGTGAATATAAAATAAACGTTAAGTCACTATCTTTCAACCAGGGCCCCGCTTTTGTGAATGTGTGCAAATAGGGTCCTGTTACTGCAAAAAAACTTTTTTAAGGAGTTTTTAAATTGTAAAGACATACAAGATTATGCTCAACACTGTAAAATTATAATAAAAAAAATTTAATTTTAAGAAATAAACAGCAATTGCAGCTATTAAATTAGAGATGCAACATACAAATATTTGGTATCAAGTTTATACTGCTGAACGCAGAATATTCATTTGGGACGAATAAAGGAAGAAGCGTCTACCGAAGACAAAACTTAGCTCGTTTACATCTGTCTTTTTCTCCCCCCCCCTCCTGGGAAGGCTTTACTCGATTAACAAAACAACAAAACAATAATGAAGATAAACAAATTTGTGAAGGGTCCGATTAAAAGATAAATTATTTAGTGAAGGGTCCGTTTTTAAATTAAAATATTTTGTGAAGGGTTCGTTTTTATGAAAATATATTTTGCAAAGGGTCTATTAACGGACCCAAATTTCTTCTAAACAGACCCCTGATAGAGGTTAAGAAACATTTTGTCCAGTAACATATTCACTTTTTTTTAAAAGTCTTTTTACATTGATTGCTGGTCAAGAGGACCACTGATCATTTATTTTCAGGGACTCCAAATTGAAGCGCAACTAATTTGTTAATGGTGCCAGTTTAAGATGAAAATTAAGTATCACATAGCTGAAATGTTATTTTTAGCAGTCAAACTTCAGGTGTTACACAACACATGCAAAATATTGTTATGTTTGTATGTCTTGAATGTTATGTTTTTTAATATGATTTATCACTAAAGGTTGTATTATTTCTATTAATTAGTTATGGGCACAATATATTTTCCTTTTGGGCACTGCGTTTCTAATTTTAATAAGTTCATTCTTTATTTTAATTGATTTTCATTTCTACTGCACTCTCCATCTAAATCCCTGCTTGAAAGGTGTGATTGGATGAAGCGCGGAGGAATACATTCCCTGCTTGACTGTCCTAGAAGCGTAGCTGGTATTTCGGCCCTAAAAATACCTTGATTAGGATAAGTTTTCTTTTCTTTTATGTGCCCATTTTTTATTTGTATTATGATATTTTAAATGAAAATCTTTAAATAAGTATTAGAACTGAAATGTGTAGCAGTAACTACCTTTTTTTAAACGTAACCTAACTTGAATTATGATTAAGTTATTTGAAATAAATGTTTAACCTAGAATATCAGTATAATAATAATATAGAATGAGAAATTCAGAAATCGCGAAAGTTTAAAAAATAGTTCACTGTAGGAATGCTTTTTCTTTCATTTTTTTTCTTTAAAGAACACCATGTTTTACATATACTTATTTGAGTACCTCTTTTTTAAGAGTCCTATTCGCATGATTCGTGATCTATATTAGTTACTGCGCGGATTTTACGTTTTTTAATTTATGTACGAATCTTAATTTACTATCATTTAATTTATTTACGAATTTCAATTTGTGTAGTGATTTATGAAATTCGAAAGAGGAAATAATTAATGCATTTTTCTGCTTACAAAATGCGAGAATATCGCATATAAAATTAGAATTAAAAAAATATTACTTTAACAAGTAAAAATTTTTATGCGTTTTTATTCTATACTTTTTCCTGTAGACACAATGTTTTTAAAATGTACAATGTACTTTAAATGAGTAATTGTTATAATCAAAAGTATTTTAATGCAATACAGTCGAACTCGTTTATAACGAGCTCGGATTTAACGAGAACTCGGATTTACCGAGGGAAACGAGAATATTTGGTTGGATCAATGTTAAGTCTATGGAACAGAAGTCGCTTTTAACGAGCAAGACCCGGTTTTAGCGAGCAATATTTTTCTGTCTGACAATCTTTTTTCTCATCTTTCTAGCCTTTCTGTCTTATCTTTTTTTCAAAATGATAAGAAATGCGTGAAATAAAAAAAAAACCTCGAACTGAAATTTAATTGCCCTTATCGCTCTAATCTTTTGCAGGTTGGGGAGGTTAGTTGTCATTAAATTAAGAAAAGTATTTAATTAAATTAATTAATGTAATTAAAGTAAGTAAATATCAATTAAATTTTAAGTAAACTCAATCATTTGACCTCCCAAGCCCCCCTCCCTCTTCTGGTTGCACGCCTGCCTTAAGGATCCGTTTATTACGAGCACTCGGATTTAACGAGTGCAATGTTACGGTCCCTTTGTGCTCGTTATAAACGAGTTCGACTGTATATTAGTGCTAGGGTAGTTTGTCGCCTAAAGCCCGTAAACAAAAAATTTACCGCGGGGGTTACTCATTAAAAGCGTACCTGGGCAAGAACGCTAAACATTTTAATGTCAACATTTAAAGGAGAAAAATGAGTTCACCTCCCGGCTTTTAGATCAAATTTGTCAGGTAAAATCTTTTGGGTGATCAGAAGACGTGGCTCTTCTATTTTTAAAGATAAAACTTATTTGCACAGCTAAGGAATTAGTAAGTGAACAATCCAAAAATTTTAAGTGCTAACTGCTAAAACACTTTTAAATATGTAGGAAAATATTTGGATCCAGAATCAAGCGTCACTAACAACCTCTTAAGTTTAAGCCAATTATTTTTACTTCCTAGTGACAATATTAAGTCTTACGCTCAGTGCATCTTTTATATAAATACTAAATCTTAAGTAATAATATATATTTTATTGCTTATTACTTGATTACTTCTTATCACTGAAATGCTTTGAGGATGTAAAAGTGCATTCGAATTTCACAAAACTGGTTAAAGTCATGAACTTATTAGGCATTTATTAGGGAGATCAGAAAGTAATGTCGTTTTTTTTCTTTTTTTAATCAATAATGTATTCACCATGGTTAGCAACAACCTTTCAATGCGGGATCGAAAATGAATCAAAATGGATTGAAAAAATTAATTGGTTTTTATGACTAACAAATATTTAATGCGTCAAAACGACTTTCCCATCCCCCTAACATTTAGAGTAAAAATAAACTTAGAATACAAAACTGAACAAATATTTTTTTTTAAGAATATCTAAGTGGGGAAATTTATGCTATGTCTATTTAGCAGGGCAGATTGTCTTCAACATGTCTGCTGAAGTTAAATGATTTATTTCAAGCTATTTCTGTAAAATAAGTCATTCATAATTTAGGTCTCTTGCAATAAAAGATATAAATAAAATAAAGATCTCAATGGGCACACAGCTGCCAACAAATATAGGGAGAAAATCCAGTAGATTTTACGAAATGATATAAATTTTTTGATCATTGTTACAAAATGTACTAAATATTTTACACATACGGAATTTTAGAGATTTTCATCGACATCTAATAAAAAAAACTGCAATATTTCCGAGTTATGATTAACATTAAATGAACTTAAAACGTTATGTATTATGTTTATGTATAGCGTTATGTAATTTTAAATAGTAATAGGTATTTAATTCATCAAAGATAGTTAACTGATATTTAACTATCTTTTTATAAATGAGGCTTGCTTCTTTTTACATTAGTAACGCTTATTTAAATATTCAAGCAAGCAATAATCTGCACAAAACTTGTATTTTTATAGGTGCCTTTTTTAAGGAAACTTATTCAATTTTAGGGAATTTTCTAAACAAAAACCAGTAGAAGTTTTATTAAACCAGTAGAGTTGGCAGCTATGCAATGTGTACTGAGATGTCTTTATAAAAACTGATCCCAAGTCATGTCTTCAAAATGGCTGTTACGAGAATGTTACCTTAATTTACAATTGCTAAAAGGAAAACATTTAATAATTGAAAATAATGAGAAACATACATTTAGGGCACCCAAGAAAACTTGTAAGGCTTGTAAATAGACTTCAATACAACCATTTGATTTCATTGTTTGTTGATTAGAGAAAGCTTTGCTGGTTCGACTGAAACATAAAATAAAATTACTTTTTCTTTTTTAAGCATACACAAAAATAAATGTCATAATTTTAGTTTAGAAGGAAAAAAAATTTACCTATTTCAAGTATATCAGCATCATTTTTATTTTAAAAAAATAACCCTTAAGTCATGATAGTTACTATTGTTTAAAAGTGTAATTTGAGTACGATCAAGCTGTTAAGGAAAATGAAGAATTCTTTCAACTCTTTTAGAATCAGATTCTATTAAGCATTTGATCAAAGATATTCAGTCGGATGAATATCAAATTATTTGAATATTCACATGATTTGATCAAAAATTTCCATGGATGTCTTCAAATTAGGCCCACTAGATAAAATCTATTTTTACACCCAAGCTGATTCTCAATTTTTATTCACATTTAAAATAAAATAAAAAATTTAGCAAGAAAAAATAGGAAATAATGTAAGAGGATTTTGGAAATAATTTTTGAGTTAAATTTTATCAATAGCAATAATTAAATTGTTATAATTTTTATAGTATATTTTAATAATAATACTAATGAAAAATCAAAATCAAAATTTAACTTGTTAGTAAATAAAATAACATATATAAAATGCATAGTATAAAACATATACAGTGGTAGCCAAAAGTGTGGACATATTTTGAAAGTTTCATGTTTTTTAACTTTGTGTGCTTGTAGAATATATTAATTTTCACTTAAATACAAACGTTTATCTATCAAATTGAAGGTAATTTAATGTAGAATTTAATAATAAATACAGTATTACAATATCTGTATTACAAAAAAAGTTATGCAACTAATAGCATGATCTATTTTAGATTTGCATTTTTTAAAGTCATACTTACACATAAATCAATACTTAGTAGGATAACCCTTATTTTTCAAGACAACTTCACAGCATCTTTTGATCAAGTGAACGAGTGTTTGGAGTTCAGCTTTCATAATCACATGGTGCCAAGAATCAATTATAGCTTCAGTAAGTTGTCTTTTATTGAATAGACGGTTTTTTCGTACAAGAATTTTCAAACGCCGCCACAAATTTTCAATTGGATTGAGATCAGGGCTGTTTCCTGGCCCTGGTAATATATCTATGCTTTTATTTTGAAACCATGCTTCGCATACTTTTGCTGTGTGTCATGGAGCTGAGTCCTGCTGAAAAATAAATGGTGCGTTGTTGGGGAAGAAATCCCTGGTGGAAGGTATCAATTTTGGTTTCAGGACAGTTCTGATGTATTTTTTGACATTTAGGATGCCATCAAGCACTTGAATTCGGCCCACACCATCTGCAGACATACATGTCCAAATCATGACATTTGTTGGGATTTTTGTAGTTGCTCCAATGCAATCGGGATGAAGTGCTTCACCTACTCTACGCCTCACATATTTTCTACCATCACTACCAAAGAGCAATATTTTACTCTCATCGCTCCAGATTACTTGCTTCCATTGATTTTCTGACCATTTAATGTGTTCTTTTGCCCACTTAATTCGTTCTTTGCGCTACTTTTCAATTAAATATGGTTTTTCCTTGGAATTCTAGCTTGTAGTCCAAATCCTGATAACCCTCTTTTTATTGTTCTTGAACTTACTGCAGTACCCACTGCATTCGTTTCACATCTAATGGCATTTGATGAAATTTTTCTATCTTGAAGGCATAGCCGCAGGGTTCGCCAAGTGGGCCCACTTTGAAAAAACCCGCCCGGGTTTTATTGGGTGGGCCCACCTTGAAAAAACCCACTTGGAACGATAAGTGGGTTTTTTCAACAAAAAAATTTTTTTTTTTTTACTAGAACTTATTGTTTCACATTTATTTTTATATAATTTATTGTGCAGCATAAATTTGTCAAATAGAGTTGCATGATTTATATGATTAAGTTTTTAATATTAGTAAAGTAAAAGAAACTCAAATATTCATATAATTTTTATAGTAGGTGCTATTGAAAACTTCAAGTGGGTTTTTTCAAAAAAGTAATATTTTAATGATATTAAATCAAATAAAAATTTAAATAATATAGTCTGAAAAGATCAATTTTTCAACTATAGTTGCATGCTTTATATATTAATAAACAGGTAATATAATAC